CGTTCTCCAGTCCTTGGCAGCCTTGCTCAGCTGGAAGAGAAGAGATTTGTGCAGCTGCACAAAGGATTGTTCCAGCAGCAGCTTCCGGCTGGGCTCCTGGGAGGGCATCTCCCTCAGAGGCAGCTGGGAGGTTTGGTAGAGCCTCAGCTCAAAGCCCTGCCCCTGGCTGGAGGTGTGGTAGGAGTTGTGGCTGAATTTGACCTCCAGCTGAGCCATGGTCAAGTGCTCGTCCTCCTCCAGCACAGAGAGGTTAAAGTACAGACGTTTCTGCAGGCACAGCAGCCTCTGGGGCTGCCTGCTGTGAATGAAGTGGCCTGACAGAGAAGGAGAAACAGAGGTGGTGGTGGTTGGACCTCGTTACGCTGAGCAGGATCAGCCTCCCAGTGCTCCAGTTTAAGCTCTTGGCAAGAGGAAGATGGGGCTGGCAGAGGTGGCAGCCAGGCTGGGTGCAGGGGACAAGGCTGCAGGACAAGGCATCAGCCCCGCGGCCTTCAGAAAGGGCTGGAGGTGCAAACACCAGCCCATGGCTCTGGGAAGCTGCAGCCACTCCAGCATCTCCTCCAGATGCTCCTTATCTTAGTGTCTGGTTTCCCCCAGCTATAAATGTCTCCCCCCTGCCCCAGATAGGGGCGTTGCTGTGGGTGCTGGAGCTTTGGGATGGAGGGGAAAGGAGAAGGAACAGCAGCAAACTCTGGGAGCTGGGAAGCTGCCTGTTTTAGCCAGCCCTGGGTTCCCACTGGAAGCCTGGAGCCACAGGAGTGCTGAGCTACGTGGGGTCTGGAGACCCAGAGGACCACAAGCAAAGAGTCCCCGCAGAACCAGGAAGGGCTCAGAGAGGCTGGAGCTGCCAAATGTGCCCGTGATCAGCCCGAGGCAGGAGGACAAAAAGGAGCAGGGGGGGACACAGCCAAATGGCCCAGCACCCCCTGCCCACAGCTGGGTGCTGGTCTCACCTGCTGCACCCACAGCCCCCGCCCCTGTGAGCCCAGTGGGTCCAGCCAAGTCACCAGTGACCAAACCAGCATCTTCAGGAGACTCCAGGGCTGAGCCTGTCCCACCTCCCCCCCCTCACCCACTGCCCTGTCTACTGACTCATTTCCAAACTGCAAGTAATTATCTACAACATCAAGAAGGACCAGCCACAATTTCTCCTAGAGACAGACTCTGGCCACTGCCCTGTCCTCCCCCAGCCTCTCCCACCTACACCCACAGACAGAGGAGAAGGACTGGAGCAAAGTCCCAGCCCAGAGAGCAGAGGAGCTTCCAAAAGGCAGGACCCAAACCACAGCGTTTCTGTACCTTGGTCAGCAAAGACACGGATGATGTTCCCAGGGACATTAAATTCCTCCACCCTACAGGCATCCACCAGGTCTCTGTTTGTAGAAGGCAGCATCTTTCTCTTCTGGAAGATCCTCCAGAGCACAGGGGGCACAGGAACGGGGGCTTTGGGGCTGGGCTTGGCACTCAAACCCAAGGCTTTTAACAGGAAACTTTCCTGCAAACTTAACTCCATCCCCAGGCCCAGGCTGAGCAGAGCCCAGGCCAGGCAGGCTCTGAAGCTGGGGAGAAGCCACATTGCTCCACTCTCCTTCTGCAGACAAAGAGCAGCCAGGGTGGGACACCAAGAGAGGGGCCAGGGGGGTGTTGATCGCCTGATTGGAGCCTTTGATCTGGTTAGTGCTCAATTAGCACCGAGGGATTCCCAGGATTGGGCAGAGGGTGTGAACGGCCCCTCCAGGCTCCCTGGGACCTGTTAACCCTTTGAGGCTGCAGGAGGGCACTGCCCTCTGGGCTCCTACCACCTCTCCCACATCTCGACACCATCGAGGTCCAAAACCCAAGTCCTTGGTGGCAGGAAAGAGCTGCTTTATGGACCTTCCCCACACAGACCTGCCAGCGAGGCAAGCACAGCTCCCATCCCTGCCACACCCCCCAGACCCCCCAGGTCTCCTCTTGCTCTCTCCTCCCAAATCAGCTCTTCTTTTTTTTTTTCCCCAATCACAGCACCCAACACCTCCCTCAAGGCCATCAACTCCCAGAACATCTCATCTTCACTCCCTCCCTTGAGCAGCACAAGTTGCCCTGCCCACAAGACACCAGCCCTAGGGCCAGCACAACAAGACACCAGCACCAGGAGCCACCAGCACCAAGAGCCACCAGCACCCACTCCCAGCACAGGGTCCCTGCCCTGGCCAGGCCCTCCCTTAGTCCCCCCCTCCCTGGCACAGCCCCTTTCTCACCATCACCACAAACCCATGGGCAGCCCAGTGTCACACACACCATCACAGATTGGTTTGGGTTGGAAGGACCCTAAAGATCATCCAGTTCCAACCCCCTGCATGGGCAGGGACACAAGCTTGCAGGAGGGCACTGCCCTCTGGGCTCCTACCACCTCTCCCACATCTCGACACCATCGAGGTCCAAAACCCAAGTCCTTGGTGGCAGGAAAGAGCTGCTTTATGGACCTTCCCCACACAGACCTGCCAGCGAGGCAAGCACAGCTCCCATCCCTGCCACACCCCCCAGACCCCCCAGGTCTCCTCTTGCTCTCTCCTCCCAAATCAGCTCTTCTTTTTTTTTTTCCCCAATCACAGCACCCAACACCTCCCTCAAGGCCATCAACTCCCAGAACATCTCATCTTCACTCCCTCCCTTGAGCAGCACAAGTTGCCCTGCCCACAAGACACCAGCCCTAGGGCCAGCACAACAAGACACCAGCACCAGGAGCCACCAGCACCAAGAGCCACCAGCACCCACTCCCAGCACAGGGTCCCTGCCCTGGCCAGGCCCTCCCTTAGTCCTCCCCTCCCTGGCACAGCCCCTTTCTCACCATCACCACAAACCCATGGGCAGCCCAGTGTCACACACACCATCACAGATTGGTTTGGGTTGGAAGGACCCTAAAGATCATCCAGTTCCAACCCCCTGCATGGGCAGGGACACCTCCCAGCAGACCAGGTTGCTCCAAGCCCCACGCTGGCCAAGCTGACCCACCTAAACACTGAAACCTGGACCAGCCCATACTACACAATCCAGTTTACCCCCAGCTGGGCACTGGTGCTGCCCCAGCTCTGTCATGAGGGAGCAGAGACACCCTGGGATGTTCCCTGTTTCCTCCTTCCTTCAAATCCTGCTTGAAAGCCCAGGAACCAAAGGGCTGAGCTGCTGCCCCGAGGGGACAGGGCAGTTCCCAGCAGCCCAAGTCACACTTTCTGCTCACAGGGACTCTCCCCGTGGCTCCCACAACCAGCCTGGAGCTGAATCAGGACAACAGAGTAGACAAGAAAAAAAAACAACAAAACGAAGCACAACACAATTAACCACCCTCTGATGCCTGGAATTAATGCCCTGGATCCCCCTCCACTGCCTGTTGTCCCTGGCTGGGAAGGGACTCCCAGGGAGGACAGAGGAGCTGGGGGTCCTGGACCCATGAGAGGGATGGTCTGGTCTGGGGAGCTGTAAAATCCAGAGGGTTTCCCAGCAGGGACACCCAACCCAGCCTGGGGCTGTCTGGAAAACCACCCCAGGGAGCAGGAACTGTCTGTTCTTTACTTGAGCACATGGACATTGCTGGGGGAGCACAGAGACCCCTCAGCAGGGACCTGCAGGGCTGGGACTGGCTTTTTAAGCAACAATAAGACTTAAACAAGGTGGGCTTTTTACACTAATTAAATCTCCTGGCCCTCATCTGGCAGGACAGGAGGCTGGAATAAAGCTCCAGGGCTGGGTTTCCAGGCAGACCTGCTCAGGGGAACTGTGCTGAGACATGTGGGCAGCTCTGGTGTCCCCTCCTGAGGAGGAAGGCTCAGAGGTGACAGCATCACCCCTGGAGTCCCTGCTGGGCAGCTGGAGAAGACCTGGCTTTGGGCTCCCCTTGCCTGGGGGGTGATGCAGGAGAGGACACTTCTGGTTTGATGCTGGGTCAGGAACCCTCCAGAGCTGCTGAGGAAGGGTCAGTAGGAGGGTCCAACAATGGGGAATCACAAAGGGACAGAGAATACTGAGGGACAGAGAGACAGAAGAAACACCAGGGGACCTAAAGCCAGCTCCAAATCCTACCTGGACCTCAAAGCCACCAGCCCCTCAGCTGAACCAGCAGGACTGGCTACAGAAAGCACATCAGCATCAGCCTGGTCACAGGCAAGGCCCAGGAAGGGCCCGATCCTGTCAGTGGCATCTCTTCCCCAGCTCCAGGCAGGGGGTGGAGGGGTCTCAGGGATGAAGTCCTTTCTCCTTGTGCCTTTCCCTGCTGGCTTTGAGCACCAGGTGCTGGGCCAGGCCCCAGCTCCAGCCGGGCTGCCTCACACCCGCTTGTCTTTCACAAGTCCATTCTTCAGGTGCAGCCTGTGGAAGAGCAGAGGGACAGTCAGCCTGGCTCTGCCCCCCCCCTCCCTGCCACAAGTCACTGCTGAGGTCAGACCTGTCTTGGCACCTTGTCCCCAGCCCCCAGCCCTGCTCTGCAGGGTCCAGCACCTTGTGCTCCCCACATGAAGGTGCAGATGCTGCTCAGAGAAAACAGCCTCGAGGCAAGAACCAGCCCATGGGGTGAGGAGGGGAAGGGGTGGGGGAGGATCCACATGGAAGGTGGGTGGACACACCACAAGGCCTAGACATGGAGACACAGAGCCCTTCCTGCCACCTGCAGCAAAGTCTTATCCTCTGTGCCATCCTGCTCTTCTGCCCTCCAGCCCAGTGGTGAACCCTTCAACAGAGGCCCTGGGAGGTCTGCAGCCCCCACTCCCCCAGCAGCTGCACACGTGTCACCCCCTGCCCACATACCCTTCTTTCAGAGCACTGGACAGCTGCAGCCCAGCCTCCCCATGGGGGCTTTTCCTGCTCTCCTCCACGTCGTACTCACGCACGTCGTTCACCTCCTGCATCTGCCCCATCAGCACCTTGGCCACAAACAGGACGATGTACTGTGGGGAGAGACACCCTCAGCCACGACCCCAAGGCTTAGAGTTCTTCCACCCAACCCACACGTGCTCAGTGGGACCTTCCCCTGCTGTCCTCAACCCCTGGAAGGGCAGGGCAGATCCCTCTGGGATGGCCAAAGCCCTGGGATGGGGCTGGTGCTCCTGCAGCAGTGGGGCAGGACTCCCTCCTGCTGCAGGGGGGCAGGACTCCCTCCTGCTGCAGGGGGGCAGGACTCCCTCCTGCAACCACCCTTCACTGATCTCATCCCCACAGGATGGTGAACTCAGCTGCCATCCTGCTCTGCCCAGGGATGAACCCTCCAAGTTCACCCTTTTCACCCCCTCCTCAAAGCTCCAGGCCATACCAGAGCACCTACCCAACCCACCAATCCCAACCTGCTCCAACTGCTGTTATCACCCCCTCCCCACAGATTTCCAGGGTGTGAGACAGTCTGAATTCCAGCAGGGAGGAACCCCCCAGGCAGTGCCATGGGATTCCCTCCTCCCCTCCAAGTCCTCTGAAGGTCCCTCCATCCCAAAACCTCCTCCACACCTGCAGCCCCAAGGCAGGAGCAGCAGGGGAAGGGGAAGGCAGGAGAGGGGTTGCTGAGCTTCCCCCACTCACCAGAAACCAGTAGATGTTCATCAGAGTGAGGACAAGGAGCAGAGCATTGAAGAAGAAGTAGAAGGGGATGTTTGGGACTGCCTGGAGGCTGGAGTGGCAGGTGGCATAGAGCACCTTGAGGGGGAACCAGTAGAGACGGAACCAGAACCTGCCAGGGCAGAGGGAGGGGGGTGGGTTTAATGGGAGAGGTGTGAGACCCTGCTCAGCTTCCCCCAGCACGACCTCCTGCCCCCCCTGCACCCCCAGGCCCTGCTCCTGGCATCTGGCTGGGGTTGGTGGGCCTGGCTGCAGCCAGGACTTCCCACTGCCCCTGGGACAGGGCAGCTACGGGAGGGAAAATGTCATTTCTGTGGGCGTTGTGCCTCCTGCAGCAGGGGTGCAGTACTCCCTCCTGCTGCAGGGGGGCAGGACTCCCTCCTGCTGCAGGGGGGCAGGACTCCCTCCTGCTGCAGGGGGGCAGGACTCCCTCCTGCTGCAGGGGGGCAGGACTCCCTCCTGCAACCACCCTTCACTGATCTCATCCCCACAGGATGGTGAACTCAGCTGCCATCCTGCTCTGCCCAGGGATGAACCCTCCAAGTTCACCCTTTTCACCCCCTCCTCAAAGCTCCAGGCCATACCAGAGCACCTACCCAACCCACCAATCCCAACCTGCTCCAACTGCTGTTATCACCCCCTCCCCACAGATTTCCAGGGTGTGAGACAGTCTGAATTCCAGCAGGGAGGAACCCCCCAGGCAGTGCCATGGGATTCCCTCCTCCCCTCCAAGTCCTCTGAAGGTCCCTCCATCCCAAAACCTCCTCCACACCTGCAGCCCCAAGGCAGGAGCAGCAGGGGAAGGGGAAGGCAGGAGAGGGGTTGCTGAGCTTCCCCCACTCACCAGAAACCAGTAGATGTTCATCAGAGTGAGGACAAGGAGCAGAGCATTGAAGAAGAAGTAGAAGGGGATGTTTGGGACTGCCTGGAGGCTGGAGTGGCAGGTGGCATAGAGCACCTTGAGGGGGAACCAGTAGAGACGGAACCAGAACCTGCCAGGGCAGAGGGAGGGGGGTGGGTTTAATGGGAGAGGTGTGAGACCCTGCTCAGCTTCCCCCAGCACGACCTCCTGCCCCCCCTGCACCCCCAGGCCCTGCTCCTGGCATCTGGCTGGGGTTGGTGGGCCTGGCTGCAGCCAGGACTTCCCACTGCCCCTGGGACAGGGCAGCTACGGGAGGGAAAATGTCATTTCTGTGGGCAGCAAAGAGCTGGCACCAGGGGCAGGGCAGAGGAAGGGCTTCTGAGGGTAGAGGCAGGTCTGTGCTGCAGATCATCCCAGCTGGATGGGGCCTGCAGGGGAAGGTTCTTAGCCCTCTGCATTCCCAGGTTATCACTCAAGCCCATCTCTGCTCGAGGGCTCCTGTTGCCACCCCGGAGCCCATGGAGAGGGAGGAAGGAGACAAAGGGACAAGGGAGCAGTGACAACCTGCCAGCCACCCCATCTCTGCTCCCCAGCTTATTATTTCTTTTTCCTCCTGCCTTGTTCCCAGCGGAACAACAAGGCTGGAATCTGGGCCAGCCCCGCCTCCCGTTTCCTCCTTGCAAAAAGTGCTTCTCAAACCGAGCGAGTGGGAAACGGCAGCAGCTCCTCCTCCCCCCCCTCCGGGTCACTTGTGGGGCTGCGGGCGAGGTTTCACAGGCAGGCGCG